TAACTATTTATTATATATAACTAAAATTTATAATAAATTATATAAATAATACTATACTTAAATATATAAATTATATTTTAAAAATTAATATAAATAAATATATTATGTTTAGTAATTTTTCTATATTTACCAAAAAATAATTTCAAATTATTAATAACTTAATTTAAAAAAATTAAGATATAATTTATAAATAAAAAATTACATTAGCTAAAAGAATCCTTCATTAAAATACACCTCCTAAAAATACTGGCCTCCATTAAAGTATTAAAGTTGATTTTGGAAAATGTAATTCACTGGCTGTTAAAAACTTAAACTACAGTACCCATAAATATAAATTAGTGAAAAAGCTTGTAAAACAAATGAAAAAAACATTTGCTAATAAAAGAATTTCAACTTAAATATATTTTTAGTTTCTTGTTTTTATCTTTTAAATTTAAAATTAATGTTTTTATTTATTATAATTTAAAAAAATTATTTTAAATTATGTATTCAAATTTTATTAAAAAATTTATTAAATATTATTACATAAAATTTACATATTAATATCTTTATTAGTTAAAATATTATATTAAATCTAATTAATATTGTATAATTGTTTTAATTTATTACTTTTAAATATATTATTAGTAATTTAAGAGATTAAAATAAAATTTTTAAAAATTATAAAGAATAAAAATAATAATCTTAAATTTAAAAGACAAAAATAAATTTATCTTTTTTTTACCTGAAAATAAGAATTAAAAAAAAAAAGAATTTGATAAGTTATTTGATTCATGAAGCTTGTCCAGCAATTAAGTGTATTGTACGACTCAATTGTCTTTAATTGTGGCTACCCTCCCCACCATTCCTCACCTTACCACATCTTTCTTTCCTTCTGGCCTCTTCTTTCTTGGTAACAGTAACATCTGTATCTTCACCTGCCAGGCGCCGTTTCCTTTTACTCTCTCTCCTCCTTTTTCACCATTTCTCCTCCTTCACATCACAATTCAAATTACACTACCAAAAAAACCATGGTGGGGACATTTTTTTTATTTCTTATTTTTTTATTCACTTGCTTATACAATATATCTATATATGCATAAGCCATAAACCCATGAGCTTCCACTGCCCTCTCTTGCAACTCCATTTTTATCAACTTAATTCACTTCGCTATCCTAACGCAAACACGCACAAACCAAAATTCAAATTCTAAGGGAAAAAAATAATAGTCATGGTGGATGTCCTTTCTCTTGGTCTCTCCTTCTTCTTCTGTTTGTTTCGTCAATTTGGTTTAATTTAATTGCTTCACTTTCGGTCTGCAGTTCGTTTCTTCTGCGTCACATGTTCCTCGTTGGCTTCAAGTCCTTCTATCGGAGAAGTTCTACAACGCGTGCATAATTCACGAAGAGGCGAAGAAGAACGAGAAAAACGTGTATTGCTTGGATTGTTGCATCAGCCTCTGCCCTCACTGTTTGGCCCCTCACTGCGACCATAGACTCTTGCAGGTTCAACAAAAACCCTTCTTCTCTATTTACTGTTTGTTTATTTATTCATTTACTCACTCACTCACACCGTTTTGCAGATTAGAAGATATGTTTATCATGATGTTATAAGGTTGGATGACGCCGCTAAGTTAATTGACTGCACCTCTGTTCAAGTAAGCTTCTCTTTCTTTTTCTTTTCTTTTATTTATTTTTTTAAGGTTTGGTTGAGGCAATTGAACATGTTGGAGTTGTGTCTTGCACCTTCAAGTTGAGGTGAGGAAATTGTAATTGTGAATTTTGAGGTCTCTCTCACATCACATGGATGCTTACTTTCTCTCTCTACAGTCCTACACAACGAACAGTGCAAAAGTGGTATTTTTAAACCAAAGGCCACAAACAAGGAACTTCAGAGGCTCCGGCAATTTCTGCAGCACCTGTGACAGAAGTCTGCAAGACCCATACCACTTCTGCTCCCTCTCTTGCAAGGTCCTCTTTTATTTCACTCTCGCCAACACTATCATTATTCTTCCATCATAATCCCACTTTTTTTTTTTTTTTTTTTTTCTTAACAGATCAATTATCTCATGAGAACAACAGGTTCTCTCTGCGGCTACCTATTCGAGTGCAACTACATGGCGTTGCCAGAGTCTGGGCTCGACGACGGTCTAATGACCCCTGACTCGGTTCTCGAGCCGGCCGGTTCGGCCCGGACCTCGTCCGGTTCAGGAGGGTACGGTGGGGTGGATTGCAGGACCACCCTGGCTTGCACCGCCACCACTGAGGTTGTCAGGAAGAAGAGGAGCGGCGGCTCCACTTTCCGGCCACCGTGCCGGCCGGCGTGTTCGCCGGTGTCCGAAATCTCGGCGGGTCTGATGAACCGGAGGAAAGGGAACCCCCAGAGGGCCCCACTCTATTGAAGAACTCGCGGAGAGGGTGAGGAGGTTCTTTGAAATGACCCAAAAAAAAATAATTATATTAGCATATTTTGTTATTATCAATTATTCTAAATGTTATTATTATTATTATGGAGTTTAAAATCTTGGGTTGGAACTTATTATATATTATATTATATACCTTAAAGCGAAGAAAAGCCTCCTGTTTTGTAGATTATCACCCTTGCCTTTGTTGCTGATATGTATCTATCTATTCGGATTGTCAGATTACAGTAACGGTTTATTTTGATATAACCTTTTGCCACATGACAGAGGTTTATTACTGTTACTGTTATATATACTTTGATTTGTCTCTTGGTGATTTAATTTGTGGTGTGTCTTCTGACTGTATAGTTGAGTGCACACCGGAGAAGGTATTTGAATGAGTTTTTCTTCATGCATGAAAGGAAAATAAGAAAGCATAGTCAATATTTTTTCAATGTTAAAGTGATTGTTGAAGTGGTGTTAGTGTTTGGAATTTGCCCAATTTATTATGAGTTTGGACTATTGTGAATGCTTTCTCTCGGGTATAATGTTGGAGAGGAAGAGGAAATTGGGTGATCAATGGTGTAATTTTGGTGACATTACTTAGATGTTTCCATTTGTAGTGGAGAAATGTCTTTTTCTTCACATGGTTGGATTAGAACCGATTGAAATGCAAAAATAAAAAATGGAATGGGGCAGGAGGTGTAGATTGAGCTAATTTTTTGGTTTACTTGAATGAGGAAAAAGCAGAAAGCAGCGATTTTAAGAGGAAGCGGCTATGTGTTGAGTGTCCCACACTAATATCACAGTAATCCAAGAATAGCAAGGGTTGGGTCTGAACTGCACATTAATTTGACTTATTTTTTTCTTCTCGTTTCTGCTTCCTGGTGCAGCGTAGTGACAAAATTCAAAGACAGTGGTCTTTAATTTATTGCTATTTGTCCCTATCCATTGCGCTGCATTTGAGGTGTCCTATGGGAAACTTGCAACTTCTTTACTCAACTCCCAACCATTCAAATCATATATATTAAATGGAGGATTTTTTTTTGACTAGTTTACGTCACCATAAATATCCTTGGTTTTGTACACCAAAACATCACTTTTTGGAAAATAAAATGGTAGGATTTGTGTAAACTTCTGTGTTATTTTATTTTATTAATTAATTTATTGTTGTCTTTATTTTGTTTTTTTTGAAGGAATTATTGATGCCTTTCTGTTTTACTAATACTAAAATATCAAAGCAATAATAAATTTTAAAATGATTATTGCGTTGTGATTGTGATCCAGTGGCAAACTGGTATTTTTAAGAATAAAAAGTGAAATTGCAGTAGAAAGAAAGACAGTAAAATTAAAATGAATGCAGTATTAAATAATGAAAACAGTGAAATAATATATATTCCATTATATATAATATTTAATTACTTAATTCGTTAAGATTAATATATATATATATATATATTCTTTTTTTTTTTCCAGTCATTTTGTCTGTATTTTGTTATTTTTATTTTATTAAAATTAATGATTTATTAATTTTTTTTTCTATTTTTATCATTGATAATTAATGTATGTTTATTGAATAATGTGTCTATTTTTTTTTTCAATCACATGTGAAGTTAATATTGTATTTATGAGGGTAATATATTTCTAACAAAATATAAGAAAACAGAAAAAGGACAACTATTTACACATTTTAATAATCAATGTATTAATTCATAGATTTATCAAAAAGTACATATTTCTAACAAAATATAAGAAAACAGAAAAAGGACAACTATTTACACATTCTAATAATCAATGCATTAATTCATAGATTTCTCAAAAAGTGCATAATAATAATAAGTGTACACAAATTAATAATCTCAAGCCTTGAATGCAAAAAAAATATAAAAAGAAAAAAAATAAAGAATATAATAGGAAAATAAGTAATAAATATTTTTAAAAATTAAAATATTAATTATTTTCTTAAGTTTCGTGCAAAAATTTAAACGATATAAAAAAAAATGGAAGAAATATATACTTTTTTCATCTAAAGTTATTTTTATGTTATTTTTCTTTTTTAATTAATTCTCATCTCTTTTAATTATTTAAAATACAAGCTGTTTAAAAAAACTTATAATTAATATATTTTACTAAATTAAGAAAATATAATTTAATTAAAGATATTTTAGTCTAAAATAATTAATATATAAAATAATATGAATTAAATTTAATATAAAAGAATAAATAATTGTTCTAAACCGTTACATTTTAACTCACAAATCTTAGTTGTTTGAAGTGTATTAATCATTACATATAATTACATCTCAAATGTTTTCTTTTTATCAATGTTATTGTTTAATTTATTATATATAAAAATTGAGATAAGTCATAAAAAGATAATTACTGTTTTTTCAATTTTATAACAAATAAAGTAATAAATATATTTCCTTTTTTTTAAAAAAATAACTAATGTTTTAAAACAGAATAAATATTAAAGGAAAATATTTTATATTTTCTTAGCATAATGGTTGTTTTATTTATTCAATATTTTCTTGTTTTCTAATTTTGAAACAATGTTTCCAGAAGCTTGTGGAAACAATTTTAAAGATGAATTTGTAATATGGTACTAAAGTTGATGGGCAATTGAAGGGTTTGAAAATAGCATCATACATTTATAACACGTGACCAAAACTGAAAAAAAAAAATGGGGTGACCACAGTTCAAACTCAATTAATGGCAATCACAATAAAAGATTTTATGCATAAAAATAATAGAAGAATTAATGGCAAGATGATTGATAGGTGTAACAATAAGCATTAAGGAATAGACTTTGGCTTTTATATGTTTTTTTTTCCAATCCTTACACCAAAGTAGTCATGCAAGTAATAGAATAAGGCATCAAATAGGAAAAGTCTGCAGCTCTTAATTACTGGTTGGCAAGTGGAGTCCATTTGACCCATCTACTTGTCCTTTTCAAGTTCTGGGTAAAAGGGTGACTCTTCATGTATCATATCCCATTGGATATCATATAGACCTAAAAGTATAATATGGCATAACATCCAAGAACCCTTTATTTAACGTCTTGCATTTGACGCAGCAACATGAGTTCAATACCACAAAAGCCCTTCTCAGTTATCCCTCAAGGATGAAGAATAAAAAATTTATCAGGGATTTTGATTAGTTTTCCACTCTTGTCCTATACTAGAAGGCTTTATACGAGTATTATTCACTTTTGTCTTATAGTTTCTAATTTTGTCTCTTTCAGCTGAAACTAAGCCATGATATCCACAATTTTGTACCAGGTTTTTTTTTATAAAAAATATCAACAGGAACGATGCAGTATGGGTCAGAGGAAGCTGTAGTCTTGGCATTATTATCCTAACTAGTTATGTATAATGCGCTTTTTGTGTAATTTGTATTTTGTTTCTTCATTTTTTTACAGAAATATCGGTTAAGTACTTTTATGACAAAAAGAAAAAACTAAATTATATTTTTTATCTTATCCTTTATTTCTAAGAATTCAATTTAGTTATATTATTTTTAAATAGTTCCTTTAATCTTTTAATTTTAATAAAATATTTAATATTGTCCTTCCATTTAAATTGACATTAAAAACGCTTATTGTACTGTCCCAGTTAGAATCTGATCTGATCTCTCTATATAGGTTCACTCGGTCAAAATCCAATCTGACCTCTCTATATGGGTCCACTTGGTCAAAATCTGAGCTAACCTCTCTACATGGGTCCATTCGGTCAAAATCCGATCTGATCCCTCTACATGGGCGAACTTGGTCAAAAATCCGATTTGACCTTTTGCACAGGTGCATTATCTCGGTCAGAATCCGATCCAACTTTCCCACACAAACGCTGACCCGATATCAAGGACAAAATCCCACCTTTAATTACCAAATATCTTTCAAATAAAAACGGTCATGAAAATCTCCGTGCTCACAAGGCCCATGAGGCCCATGAATAAGAAAGTATAAAACCTAAAACCTAAAACCCTAAAACTAAGCAGGCAGATTACACATTACACACTTGAATGCTCTGGCTTGGGAATGTTGACTTAGGAGAAGATCCCTAGACGCCCCCTTGGCGGGAACATTTTGGCACCCACCGTGGGGCTACGGTGAAACTTTTCCTACGCCCCAAGCAATACGAAAAACCTACACTCTAATATGGCGAGAGGCGGCACATCCAACCACGACCCACAACACCCTACCATGGAGGAGATGATGGCATTGATCAATGGCTTGAGAGAGGAGAATGCACGATCAGAGAGAGAGAGAAGGCCATTCAGCGAGAGAACGAGGAGATCAGACGACGAGTCGACGAGATGCAGGCCATGATAGCGGCTAATATGAGGACAACGAAAGAAGATAGTATGACGGAAGTTCCGAGGGACTTTAGACCATTTTGAGAGGCGATTGAATCTGAGGCAATCCTAAGAGATCATAGGATACCTCAGGTGGAACCGTTTGACGAGACACAGGATCCTAGTCAACATCTAACGAACTTTCGTGCTCAAATGTTAATTTGTGGACGAAGCATGGGGGTCCGCTGCAAGTTATTTATGGGAACATTATAGTTAGTTGATCGTTTTGTATTAGGTGGACCCTTTCCTAAATTAGTATTTTTATCCCTACAAAAATGTGAGAGGGTTTTATGATAAAAAGGTATTTAATGAGGTACCATCAAATAATAAAAATAATTATTTTCAAATTGATTGACTCGCAAGAAAACTCGTGATTGAATGATAAAAATTCGACTGGGCGAGTATAAACAACTCGAAGACAAAACTCATGATTGATCGATTCCATTCCGACTGGGCGAGTATAAATAACTCGAAGACAAACTCGTGATTGATCGGTAAAAATTCGAATGGGGGAGTATAAATAACTCGAAGACCAAAACTTGTGATTGATCGGTAAAAGTCCGACTAAGCGAGTATAAATAACTTGAAGACAAACTCGTGATTGATCAGTAAAAATCTGACTGGACGAGTATAAATAACTCGAAGACCAAAACTCGTGATTGATCGGTAAAAATCCGACTGGGCAAGTATAAATAACTCGAAGACCAAAACTCGTGATTGATCAGTAAAAATTTGATTGGGCGAGTATAAATAACTCGAATTATTTTCTCTCATTATACAAGAGATCGGAATCTGGACGATGTGTCTCTCCGTTTTACGCAAGGTTGGCATTTTGGAGACCTGGTCGGCGTTTTGGAGACCTGGTCGGCATTATATACTAAGAAAAAGTTCTTAACTTGGTTTTTATTTCTTCATACATCGTGAGGTCGGCATTTTGGAGACCTGGTCAGCATTTTGGAGACCTGGTCGACATTATATACTAAGAAAAAGTTCTTAACTTAGTTTTTATTTCTTCATTAATCACGAGGTTGGCATTTTGGAGACCTGGTCGGCGTTTTGGAGACCTGGTCGGCATTTTGGAGACCTGGTCGACATTATATACTAAGAAAAAAGTTTTTAACTTGGTTTTTATTTCTTCATTAATCGCGAGGTCGGCATTTTGGAGACCTGATCGGCATTTTGGAGACTTGGTCAGTATTATATACTAAGAAAAAAGTTTTTAACTTGGTTTTTATTTCTTCATTAATCATGAGGTAGACATTTTGGAGACCTAGTGTTATATGCCAAGAAAAAGTTTGAAACTTGGTTTTTATTTCCTCATTAATCATGAGGTCAGCATTTTGGAGACTTAGTGTTACCAAGAAAAAAGTTTTTAACTTGGTTTTAATTTCTTCATACATCGTCAAGTCGGCATGATGGAATCATGCTTTGGAGTGCAAGAGGTGACATACTCAAAGATCCAAGAGGAGTTGGCTAGACATGAAGGTTTGGGCCAGTCAGGGCCCAATGGGCCTTATGGGCCTGGGAAGGCCCAAGTTGAACTTTTCATGGGCCATATTTTGTTATAGCTATTTTCATATGTTTTGTATACATCATGTTAGTATAGGTATCATATATTTTGGTCTTGTATTTTGGACCACATAGAGTAGCATTTTAGGTTTTAGGCTAGTTGGGCCTAGTTTTGGGCTTCATGGGC